ACCACAGAGAATTTCCTATTACACGTTCCACAGTACTTCATTCTCATGCTGTCTAATCGTTGAATTTCGCCTCGATTGCCCCGCGAATCTCATTCATCATTGCGACATTTTCCTCGATCTTACTATAGTCCGAGGTCTGGTCTCAGCGTGATTTGATTTCGCGTTTATCAAATTGCAAATTGATTTCAAAGCTTGCTCCGCACGAACGCAATCGCTGCCGTACTAAATTTTATAACTTTTTTAAAGGACAGGATATTTATACGTACATCAACCGTATAAAGTATTAAAATAATGTTTTATGCACGTAAAAAACCATGATTCGTTGAATTTATAATAAAAAATTCATTGAATAAATTATAAAATTTAAATAACGGGCATAGACATATATTTCACTGAAATTAAAATCATACGTTACATGACATGGACATGACTACGCGAATTTCGCGATAAATAAGAAGGCAAGATAAAGATAACATTTTAATTTTATTAATTCTTCATCAAATAATCTGCATTATTCATTTCATCAGCCAATTTTGTATTAAAAGAAATACAATACGTCGCGACGTCGGTAATTTCGAAGAAAGAATTTATTTCTATATTGGCAGTCGCAAAAAACGTAGGAAAGAAATGAAATAAAAAGCAGCAATAAGAGACAGTAAATGATGGTTCAAAAATACGAGTAGACTACATTTACTGAAGAAGGGTATTGAAATCGACAAGCGCGCAAAGAATTGGAAGAATATACCACATGGGCAATGAAGAAGGAAAGGAAGATAAAAGCTGAAAACGGGAGGGGAAGAAAGGTATGCGAAAGCAGGGCGGAAGAGAGTGAGAGAGAGTGGAAGAGCAAAGAATTCCCGTAGGACACGACCCAGCAAATGAGCCGGAGAATGCAAATCAATCCCACGACGCGGCGCACGAAATTGTGCACCTACGCTCGAATGCGGCAATCCCTTTTCCAAGGGCTTTGCTGCACGTGCTGGTGAAGCGGCGTTACCGCCACCAACACACAGCCCACGAATGCCCCCCCAGGGTACGTCACTGCAACGGTGCAACGGTTGCAACGGCGCAATGAGACCGACATTGCAGCGGAGCGTGCATTATCGCGTCCGACGTGTCCGACGCGACCTGGAGAACCGCCTCCTCCTGCGCGATCCTCTTCGGGGAATAACGTTTCCCCGATGCTACCTGTAACACGACTTCGCTTGCTCGCGGATCCTCGGTGGCGAACCACGGCTCTCCGCTCTGCTCTGCCGTATTCTACCGCATTTCTGAAACGACGCAATACATGCCAGACGGCCGGTGGCAAATGTGGCAATCGCCAGACGGCCCTTTTACGCGGCACCTTAATACACATCGTATTTTCTCGCGTTAGTTTTTGTCGCTTTTTTGCGATAGCTGGCTATTGCTCGCTGCGCGCTGGAAAGTCGCAAAAAATGGAACAAGTATGCTGCGAGTGGCTGAAGCGGATATTTTTAACTAGGACTTAAAGAGCTTAAGAATGAAATTCGCAAAGACTGTCTTATTTCTGAATCCCGTCTTTTAAATCTCATAGTTCTGAACAAGATTTCGACGTTTAAATTTAGCTCTTCTTGCTTTATCCATTCTTATGCTGCTCTCATCAGATTTCGCGAAATTTGTCTTTGCGATTGTCACAGGAAGTGAAGCTGTATTATTTCAAGAGTGACTTGGGGAAAACTGTTTTAAGATGAGTTAAAATAACGCAGTACGAATTAAGTAGTTAAGAAATGTTTCTAGAAAATACAAGATATATATGTCAATTATACATTTCTACTTTTTATTTTTTGTCATTACTTCTGGTTTTATTCTTAGATACATTATTATTTTATTTATGTTAATTTTCATTTTGTCAAATTACTAACACATCTAATTCGTTTTTTTCTTTTTAAAGAGATAACAGCTTTTCTAAGATTGGTCTCATAGTGCCATTATTATTTCGTACGCGTCCTCCTTTAGCGAGATAAAATCTTTAATTACAGGCCGCTTTTAAACTTTTCTGACATCCGTGCCCATTTTTAGTTCTGATTGCAACCGATTGTACCAAAAAGAATTGAACAAATGTTTTAATATCCCGACATTTCAGGAAAGTTTAATTCTCTCACTAAAATCACGTGTCAATTAAGATCATATTAATAGAATATCTCGTAAACTTTCTAATGACATCCGTTTGACGAATATAGACGGATCGAATGCGAGTCTGGAGAGAGAGCATATGCGGTTACTTTTGCAAACGCGTCACTCGTAAGAACATGGCGATGACGGGGTCGAAGAAGCGATTCCCTTTGTCCTAACCGGCGAACTAACCTCAAAAGGTTTATCGGAGCATGACCGAGAAACTCCATTGAAATGTAATTTAACGAGATGGGACGGAGGGGAGGGGCTATCTAGAAGGGCGATTATAGCGAAAACGACAAATGCGCGGTCGTGGAGTGAGGTACCTCTTCCGACCGGATCAATCGTTCCGAACATAATATCAAAGATGGAATTTAATTGCGAATGAACATAGATATGAAGATGAATTTGTTACTCGAGTTCGCGACTAATTTGTTATTCGAGCAAAAAAGGAACACGGCTGTAGCTTTTTCTTTTCGCCGTAGTTAATTATAGATAACGACCTCATTTCGCCTCTTACTTTTGACTTAATAATCTCGGTGCATTTTCTTGAAGTAGAATATATCTAAAGATCCGCGTATAATATAATAGATATACATACATCCTTGCCAAGAATTATCGATCACTATAAACGTGCAAGAAACGTTACATAATATAAGAGAGCATTATCTATTACATACCATTGGCGATACACATGTTATTTAATAAAAATCGCGATGCAGGCAACTGATATTTTCGATTTGCCGTTCCGAAAACAACAAGGGTAATCCGCGATTAGCGAAATGACGGACTACCGCGACCGTGTGCTCCGAACACGGATATCGATCAATTATTTGCAATAGTACTCGCCCTACATTCGAGTTTCGTCACGCGAACAGTCCCTTCGATCCTTCCTGCCGAACGTAATCACGTTAAAACAACATACGAACGCCGAGCTACATTTCGCGAGTTCGGGAAAATCGCGTTTATGGTCGATGCCTTTAGGATCCGTCTGTTTCGGACGATCGTAAAAACCTCTGATGCGAGCGATTTTTCAAACGGCTCTCTCTCACTCTCTCTCTCTTTCTCTCCTCCTCTCTTTTTCCTCCCCTATCAATGCAGTGTTTTATGACATTTGTGATCCATCGTTATAATCACCTACCGATGAAAAAACTATATCCATGTTCTCTTGAGAGTTCAACGGATTCGTGGAAACATCGCGACGTTGCAAAAATTTGTGCGAAACGTGCGAAACGTTCAATCCTTTGCACTCTCGAGCAATGCGCTTTCCCATGTGTCAATCTGAATACACCGTACGGCATAAGACGCAACCATGTGATTAATGTTTCATCGTGTGGAATTAGTATGTTCCAAAATATTAATGCATTGCTCACCGCAAATGTAAATATGTAATATCTATGTAAATTGCTTCCGAGAAGCTATTAAAATTTAATAAACAAATATCGAACAGGCCACAGATGTCCCAAGCTCTAAACACTTCGGTGGGGATCCGTTAATCGTGCGGCGATAAGCAGCGCGTTTAGAGACGCGTGGTTCAGAGAAACAGTGCTTCGTTCGTGCTACTCTTAAAAGCGAGAGAGAGAGAACTCTTTCAATTAATAGCGCGATCCGACGATAGAAATAATCGAACGAGGACCAATTAAGGATGCGATCTAAAGCCGGCACGAATGGGGCGCGCGTTCATTTCACTTTTATTCCCAGCTCGTCAGTATTCGCTCGTTTCCACGACTCCGTCCCTATTGTGCCGAATGAACCGCAGAACCGATTAGCCCGTGGATACGTAAATTGCGTTCACGATAAAAGCGGCTTGTGAATAGGTGGACGGGAATGCCCTTCAGTAGTAAAGGGTAAGGCGCATTGGTTGGCCCGTGCAGATATACCCATACAATTAGCTCTCGGAGTCTCACCGCCAATCCGATGAAGATTCCGAATGATGGAACAAGTGCTGGCGCATGTATCGCAAACTGTTCCATGCGTGTTAGTAAAATCATTATTTAAAAAATTAAGATTTATTTAAAAGTAACTTTTGTGATAAAATTCTCGCAACTGTTCGCCAGACCGACTTGGTAAACAGTTCTTGAACCTGACTAATTATTTTTTCATGTGCACTCGATACTTCAACTTTTAAAAGCAAAAAATATGGACTATTTAGAGACTATTCTTGAAAATGCTTTTTTATATTCTCACATTCCTGAATCTCATATCGTGTGAAAAAACTTATTCGATATCTATATGGAATATTCTTCATGGAAAACTTTGGAATTAATGCGCCAAAAATAACAAAAATAAATTAATAAATATTTCTAAATTAAAATAAAAGATTGTACGGTCTTCTATAAATTATAATCTATAATCTATAATCTATAATCTACAATCTATAATCTATATTATTTTAATTATATATTAATCATAAATTGATGATCATTGGCGGAACATTAAATTTTCGAAACGAGACGGATAGCCAATATTCCGTTATATAATCTGCTCTAATACACGAATGTTCAATTTGGACACGTTATGAATAAAACAAATTTTCCGAATTAGAACTGTTAAACACGTTTCTTCTGTGAATTAATAACTAGGAAGAAAATGTGCTATATATTTTTTTAAATTTATATACTTATTTGATTAATTTATATCATAAATATATTTGTTATGTATCGATATGCAATACGTATAACATGTATCATATCTTTAGTAAAACAAAGCTCGGAATGTTGCATTTTGATTATATCGAGAATACCGTAACAATAAGGGATATTTGGGAATTGTCTGAGGACTTAGTGTCTCAGGTGTCTTTACTAGTAACTTGGCAAACAGCTGCGGAATGCATTTAGTAACATGTCTCGTTCAATCTCCTGTTTCAGATATGATCGGGAGAGAGACCGTCTCTATGGTATCACATGGTACAAGGACCACGAGGTATTCTACAAATACGTACTCCGAGATAAAAATCCCCACGTCTATGACGTCAGTGGTGTTAAAGTTGACGTGAGTAAGATGCCCTCTCATGTCCCATTGTAATTCAGCATTATTGTTTCCATTAAATCTTCAATACTTCATCGAGCATCCTTTTTTTGATAAAGAGCACTTCACTTATATAGAATAATTGTTAAACTTTACGTCTTCGTTACAAAATGGAAATTTTTTTTATATATATAGAAAGAGAATTGAGACAAATTGGCAGATGACAATTGTGAATGAAAGCAAACGAGTACGAGTCATAGATAAAGAATGTATGTAATCCCGGGAATGCGAAATATTTTAACAGCAACGGATTAGTTTAAACCTAGATTTACGTTCACGCCTGTTTCGATAAATCATTCAATAAAACTCGACGCAGGCAAATAAATCGAATTGAAGACCGCGGCGATGCGTCATGGACGATGAATTTTGAGACAAATCTCGAAATCTATCGCGAGCACCCGATAAATTTTTCGAAGACGACCTCCTACAGATATGTCTTAAACGTCGATATATCCGGGATGCCGGGTAACAGGTTGGAGAGCCTCCGGGTCAAACAAAGTGGAGCTTTCGACCTGATCTACGATACCAATTTCATGGAAAAATCTTCGAATCGTTCGAGCATACGTAGTGAGAGAGGGGAAACCGAAAGGTTTGCTCTAACGTTGCAGGTTATAGAAATCGGAACGGAGCGGGAAAACTATCGGTTCGCCCGCAAACGAAACCGCGAGCGATGAGCAAACTTCGTTTCGAAAATATTTGTCTCGTCGCTCGATAAACGGAAACGGTCTTTCCGTGAAGGAGTTTAACGCGCCAGCTTTACGAGCTGCTTTGTCGTCAGCAATAAAAACATTTGTTCGTCAAAGAAAAATATCGTTTGCTGTATAATCCGCAAACAATCGGAGATTAATTCAATGCTTGGACTCTGACGGCGTACATACAACACAAAATTATTGTACTCTGTTGCAAACTTTTTTTTATTAACTCTAACATTTATTAAGAATAAACTTTATGCCCACTTATAATATATATTTTTTAGAGAGAGAAAAAGTTTAGTTTAACTTTCTTCTGAAAGTAAAGTTATAATATAATCGAGACAATCTGTTATAATGTAATGACATCTCTTTTTATACAAGTTAAGAATGTATGTTTTCTTCTTGAGATAATAAATATTAAGAAAAAATTTTCTCTCTCGTAATTGAAATCATGCCGAGATAATTTGAACAAAAGTCTCATCGTATGTTTATCAATCCTTTGTCCCGTTTTATATAGAGTTGGCAAAAAATGGATCTGGGTATACTATCGGGACCCGTTGTGGTCTGTATATATACGTGTGCGAGGGAATGTGCATCATATATCATAGACCGCCATTGTGCTCAACAACGTACGCGGGAGCGCTCAAGTTTTACGGCTTTCCACAAAGATTTAGCGGCGCCAATCTACTCTTTATATTACGGAGTAGATGAGGCTGAATTCAGAGATCTTCACGGAAAGAGATTGCACGAGGGCGATGCATCCCGCGCTGTCGTGACGCGATGCGATGGATATAGGTTGCGCGATACGTTCATTGAAAAAGGTCCAACCGATTTTAATAGACACGCGATATCGGTGATCGGATGATGTGATTATATACGTGTCCATGAAACGGAGAAAATCGAGTTGTTGCAAAATTCATATCTATCGATTTTTTTTTCTTTTTACTAAACCATGTTTGGCGGGAGCTAAAATATCCGTCGTTCAAATTCAATCCGCTCAATCTTTATTGATAATATAAAACAGCAGTATGTTGAAGAAATTATCATACAATGCGATTTTGCTTGCAGCAATTTATATATAATTTACACACACAAAATCTAGATTATATATAACATATGGAAAAGGGTTTCTCATGATTCATAAACCTGAGAGATAACAAAGAAATTTTAGCAAGTAGAATACTTTATTCATAAATATGTATGAGTCGAATTCTTTGATACTCGCTCAATCTTATTCAATATAGGGAAAGCACACAATGTACAGAATTTTTTAAAAGGATCATTTATAAACAATTGTTTTTAAGCATGAAATATCTTGTCCCAGTATAATTCTCTTGATCTTATGATATTGCAATTTTTCTTTCCATCAAGTTCGTCCATGTTTAGTGTCAACACTTTATATAAAGCAAGATAAAAAATAAGATGGATAACTACATAAACTTGTTCTTTTTTCTCTGTCTCTCTCTCTCCGTTTTCTTGTCTTACATTTTAATATCTATAGACGAGATCCTTTTGTGTTGCGCGCAACGGGACAAGCTGTAAAACGCAATTACCTTTACGACTACATACTCGCTTTGATGTAGGACGCTTTGTGGTTGAGTACGTCGAGTGTATCTTTTTTAATATTCTAAATATTATAAAATTTTCCAAATTATGAAAATCAGAATTTTCTGCCTTTTGATTTTATGACGCGCGAGATATTATCGAATGGAGAGTCTAATGAACGATCCTTTATGTTAAAGAAATTTGCTATCAATTTTTAAATGAATTGCAATGAATAGAGCATGATAATCAGCACATTTTATTCTTAAAGCTATTTTGGTTTATGTTTTTTAATTTACAATCGTAAACGTGTATCGTTCCAATTTGGCTAGTGTCAAATTTCATAGTCTGGTGTAGAAAAACTTTCAATGAGCATCGCGATTATCCAACAGCAGTCTGGTAATTGAAAAATCGTTGGACGACATTTACACCGATAGGAGAAGTCCGACCGTACCCGTACACCACGTTCGTTCACGTGGCGTATTGAATCGTCGAAGGTAACCGAGTTTACGGGGAATTGCTCGTTCGACTGTGAAGGAATCGTATCGTCGCTCGGTACCGAGAAAGGACTAAAGTGAAACTTGCACCGTTCACGATACGGGGCGAGAAAGCGTGGACATCGTGAAAGGAGAAGCGTCGAATCGGGCTCGGGACACGCGAGCACGTGTGCATGTGTGAGATTCGTGTAAAATATTTCAATTTATTCTGGGTCGCGAGAGGTGCCGCGACGCGTGCTCAACGATACTCCATGTATATGTATGAACAAAGTCGCGCAATAATAAAGCGTCACACTCGAAGCTGTAATAAAAATAAACCTCGACTACCCATCGCCGTCGTAGATGGGCTTAGTTATGGAGAGTGGTGTTATACGCGATCGTGGTGTATTATACGGCGTAATAAAAAGGACCATCGTAATGGGAATACGGAAATGTGCAATGCAAAAAAAAAAACGAAAAATAACAAGAACTGTTCTAGAAATACGCATGTACTATTTTCTTTTATGTTCCATAGCAGGAAAACTACTAATGACAAAAAAAGTATTATATAACGAAGAGTTACGAAATGTAACGAGATATAATGGAACTCGGTTGACCGTCACGAACGTCGCGTATCTCGCGGATATAGAAATGTAATATAAGATTTAAATAATTGCCAAAATGTTCAAAAAATGTTCAATCTGGCAAGCCAGTTTTCATCTAAGAATATTTTAACCAATTCTCCGTTTGTGCACATCGAAGAATAGTAATGAATAAAGAGTATTTCACGATTAGTTTCGACTAATAAATTTTTAATTTGAGGATTAATTTAAAAAATATCATTAAAAATGAAAAATTTGTGTCAAATGATGACTTCTCTTGTAAGGTTTTTATTCAGGATCGACTTGAAATTTATCACGAGATGCAGGGATGAACAAAAATAAGCAGTTCCGACATATTTGGTACAGTGCGATATAGCTTTGTGTAGCACGGGTCCAGGTCAATTTCATTGAGAAATCGGTTGTTACGCTTGATACGATCGTAAGTCATCATGTTTTTAAAGTACAGGTACGACGTCCCCGCGATGCTGCGAAGGATCGTCTCGATTCTCGAGACGGTGCGTCCGCTTCCGATTCACGTTTTCGATGGCACGAAAGTTCCGCCCTCCTTGGTGCTCGTTAATATCGTCCGACGTGTAACGAGCATTACGTGAGGCGAATCGGTTCATCCCCTTTGCCCGTCCGGCCGACGATCTTTCGAACCTTCTGTATTGGATAGCGGACTATTAATCTGGCTCGGTCCAATAGTTCCCCGATATCAGCGAAGAAAATTCTTCGCGGACAAAAGCGATCGTGTCTACCCGCCGCTGCCGTCGCGCCTGATTCCTGGCGTGTATTAAAGTGTGAGGAACCACGCAAATTTAACAGGATACGACGTCGTTAATCGCAGAGCGAACAAAAGAAGTTATAAAATACCCAATCGTGTTATTCTTTAGTATTATCTTTTCCCACGGTTCTCGTCTATAATTTTTAAAAATCTGTTTGTAATTTTTCTCATACGTTTAATGAATTTCTTTTCGATTCTTATTGCATTATGAAATATATTTTTCAAAGCTGAATAATGATCAATTCGTCCTCGGCTAACTATGTTATGAATTAATATTCGCTCTTTAATATTTGGCTGAAATTAATTTCTACGATTTAGTGCGCATCTCTTTGGTCGACTTTCGAATTATCGTAACTGTTGCAAGAAATGAAGCAGGTCGTAATGCATCGTGTATTCTAGTGTAAATCCTTTAAATACGATTAATGAAGTAGCATTCACGTCAGATATCCTCGATAAATCCCAATAAAAAGATATTGCTTATAAAATGGCATTATTGTATGTTGGGTGGACATCGTAGTGTATCTCGATTGTGTTTTATAGACGAAAATACCCATCTGTCTTTCTTCGAAGTTTACGAGGAGAGATTTGTAGAAGAAAAACGAGATAACATATGATAAATTGGTTATCGGGTATCAATTGTTATCATTTTTTTGTCATCCTTTATAAAAGCTTTATCTTTCAATCAATTCATATCAATAAATTTTTAAAAAAATTAATAAAACTTAAAAGCTTCGTACATATTTTCTCTGACATTACTGTAGATGCTGCATTTTCTTTTTCTTTCAAACTATTGCCAGTTCGCAAAATTCACGCGATTCAACCGAGAACTTGAGTTAACATCCTTTTTCTCATTTTGCAATCATCATTT